AAGGAGACTCCACACCCTCCCTGGGCAGCCTGTCCCAGTGCTCAACGATTCTGTGATCTGCAGCAGCAGCACAGACCATAACCTTGTCAGCACGCTGCAGTTCGAGACACTTTAGAATAAATCCTGGTTGAAAAATGATGGAAACTGGGAAAATGGGTCTATTCTGAAGCCTGTGACATCGCAGGTTTCATTCCTACTTGCAGCTGGCGTTGCCAGGTGACACTTTGCCTGTGTTATACGGGTGATCCCTCTATTTCAGATAAAAGGAGGAGCTGCTGTGCTTTGTGCAGCACCAAAGCGAAGGTGACTTGCAGTGGGATGCTGCGAGAGTAGCTCGTGCTGCACACACTGTCCCCTCAACCTGTAACCAGGGCCACCTCTGAGCCTTGGGGCGAGGGGTCCCAACCCTCAGCCACTGCCACGCCCTGGCTGTCCCACTGCTGTTGTCCCCTGTCCCCCAGCTGACACGCTCTCTCCCTCTGTTCCTGGGCAGCGTTTGCAGCAGATGACACAACCCAAGCTAGAGGTGCACGCTCAGAACAACGGCCTCCAGCCCAAGATGTCCTTGAACGGGAGCGTCTCAGATGCCGCCGTCTAGGAGGAGAGCCTGGACCTCCTCACCCTGTCCCATAGCTGCTCGCACCACGTCGTCCCTTGAGCTCCTCCGACACAGCTCGCTGTCCCCAGCCCTGCAGTGGCTTTTGCTTGTTGAAGAGAGGACCTGGTGGAGGAATTCTCTCATGTCTTTTCCTCCCAGCCCAGCTTACCAAGGCTCTGCCTGAGCTGCTGCCATCAGGGTGTTGAGCGGTGACCATCTTCATCATGTAACATCCTGGTCCAGGCTCTCAGAGAGGGGCGGCCGTTGCCCAGGTCTTCCTCTTCCTGACAGGAGGTGATGTTTCTAGAGAGCTTAGACTGATTGCTGACCACTTCACTGTTCTTCTTCTTGCCTTTCCACGTGAACCTCTGCAGAGCATCCTGTAGCACACAGCCGTGCCGTCACCCCCGAGAGCCAGCTGCCAGAGGCTTCAAACCTCAGATGGTTGTTGACTGATCTAACATAAACCAACACTAACAAATGCCTAACTGGAGAGGATGTGGCAGAACAAGGGATTCCAATTAGGAGTCCAGCGTGCTGGTAGCTGTAGGACATCACCCCAAAACTGGAGAAGGGCATCAGGACAGTGTGTGCTGCTCACAGACTCCGTGTTTCAGACCTGTACGGTCTGCAGCCATTGTCACCACATCCATCTGGGCTGGCACTGTGAGCCAGAGCCTAGCAGAGTTAGGCAGCTTGTCTCTTCTGGAGCATCCTGTCCTCTGCAGCCGTGTGCCATGGCCACTCCCTGACCCTAAAAAGCAGTTGAATAGGTGGAGGGCTCTTCGATAGAGGCTGTCCCAGTCTCCTACACTGACCACGCTCTACTGCAATCAATCAGCTTTGTGCAAAGGCAAGAGATCTGCTGTGTGATGGGAAGACTTTCCAGTATGGTGCAAAACTCCCCTCCAAGCTGGAACAGGGCAGTTCCTGCCGAATAAACACCCTCCCTGGCTGCATCCCTGGCTGGGAAGCCATAAGATGCAGCGTAGTGTCCATGGGTGGTTTAGCTTATACCTTTCTTGGGGAAGTGGCAACACCTAGATCCCAGCCAGTGGAAGGCTTGAGCTCCTGGAGGAGCTGGTGGGATGTAGCCACCAGGCTTAAACCCACCCCCTGTGAACCACAGAATTGCAGAATTGCCTCAATTGGAAAAGACCTTTAAGATCATCGAGTCCAACCAGTGCTGATTTCCCTTGGGAAGTGTCTGTACAGGCAGCTGCTGGTGCTGGCACGTCCTGACTCGCAGCACACACAGCATGAGGGACCCTGAGCTGCTGTAGATGATGCTGGAGGAGTGTATCAACACCTCAGAGGAGGCTGGGAAGTGTTTCAGAGCAGTTCTAAAGCAGCAGCCTATTTCTGGTTCATAAAGCCTTGAGAAAGCAGGTGGCTCATCATAGCACCATGTGCAGGTGTGACAGTGATGCTCCTGCTTGTGACAGCTTCCCAATGACCCCACGCAGTGATACCCATGTCCTCAGAGCATGTGATGAGCACCCATCGTACGTTGAGTCTACTCCCTCCCTTGGCATTCTGACAGCATCTCCAGATCTGCCAGCCTGCCTTGCCACCAGCTCACACTCCAGCCTCAGCTCAGAGTCAATAAATTCATAAATGAGTGTCCAACGAAATGTCCCAACTCGCGCTGTAGAGCTGTGACATGATGCAGGTTGTCCCCATGCTGCCCATCCCTGGGTCCAACCGGTGCGTGAAGCCAACCTGCTCTTCTGCTGGGCTCCCAGCCTGAGGATCAGTAGCGTAAAGAGGAAAGACATCATCTGGTGATTAAAGCTGAAGGTGGTCATCTTGGGTTGGGTGCTCTGTCACCAACACCTCTCAGCTGACATTGCTTTAGACGTGTAGCCAATTTCTGTGGCACGTGCTGTGACCTGGCTCATAGCAGCCGCAGCTGCCAGGTCTTGAGTGTGTGTGTTTTACAGTCTCCAAAACACCATGAGCCCAGATCACACTGTGTCCTGCATCAAATCATTAGGGTGTTTAGGTCAAAAAAAAAACCCAAAACCAAAACCAAAATCCCCACTGTTAAACAGACATGAGGAAATGCTGAATTTACAGGCTTGATCTTGTACGACTGAAAGCTGCCACCATAGTTCATTCACCATGATTAACCTCCAATGGTCACAGACACGTCTTCTTGCCTTGTCCTGTAACTGCAAGTGCTAGTGTAGCTGAAATTTTCTGTTCCACTTCCACCTCTTTTTTTTTATAAACTGGGAGATAATGGAAATCACTCCTTATCCAGATGTATGTCCTTTGAGAGGGACATCTGTGTTGTTGAAAACAGATGTTAACCTCTGATCTTTGCAGTAACCTCCCTCACTAGAAACCTGCTTTTGCCTGTGCATCCAGTGATGTAACCTCCCTCCTCCTACATGTAACTGCCCTCCTCTTACACGCAGACTGAGAGTTGCACAGGCAAGTCATGGGCAAAGGAGTAAATTTTTGAATGAGGCCTTAAAACTATGGAAGACACCAATTTTCCCAAGTTTATTGGGGAAGCTCAGGTCTGAGGTAGAACCAATTGGTGTCAATGGTCATTTTTGAAACTCTTGGCCGAAGGGCAGAGCTGTACAAAGGGTTTTACCGTCCAGGTTGTTCCTTCCAGGGGAGTGGGGAAGGAAGAGTCTCATGAGAAGACAGGGATGGGGACAACCTCTTGAGCTCATCCCCCCCCTCAAAAATCCCACTATGGCTGGGCCCAGCCATATCTGCGTGTTGACTTTGTGACTTCAAGCTTTGGGTACCACCTGAAAGGCACATGCTGAGCTTGGTGCCAGCAACTCCTTTGTCAGAGCTGCTTTTGTGCTGCTCCCATGGTGTGTCACTTTGGTGGCCACCCCTCCGCTCCCCACTCCTTTTGGCTCATCCAGCAGAGAGGATAGGTGGGTGGCCAGGGCGTGGGATGCTCCCCTCTCCCCCATGCTGTGGTTCATAGACTCATAGAATCGTTTGGTTGGAAAAGACCTTTGAGATCATAGAGTCCAACTGCACCTGTCCACAACTAAACCAGATCTCTGAGCACCTTCTCTTCCCATCTTTTAAATCCCTCCAGGGATGGGGACTCCACCACTGCCCTGGGCAACCCCTTCCAATGCCTCAGAACCCTTGCAGCAAAGAAATTCTTCCTCACATCCCATCTCACCTGCCCTGGCCACAACTGGAGCCCATTTCCTCTTGTCCTGTCCCTTGGGCCTTGGTTGAACAGACCCACCCCCACCTCTCTCCACCCTCCTCCAAGGGACTTGCACAGAGCCACAAGGTCTCCCCTCAGCCTCCTTTTCTCCAGGCTCCACACCCCCAGTTCCCTCAGCTGCTCCTCATAAGGAGCTAAAGGGGGTTTCAACCAAATGTTGAAACTTTCCGAAGGGGATCCCCATCCCCTGTGCTCCCCCCAGCACCTGCCAGTCTCTCCCTCCCACCACCAGCAGCCGCTTGAAATAATCCCCTGTGAAACCTCTCAGTTCTAAGGAGCTATTTAGGGAGCTGTGCTCCAATCCCTCTGAAATCCTCTTTTTCCTGAGGGCTGTGAAAAATAAAACAAGCTGTCTTGCCCCCATGCTCTGCTGCAGCAGCAGGGGCTGAAGGGACAGGCAAGACCGCTTCATTGCTGCTCAAGTGCCGCTTCCCCTGGAGATGTGGGTGAGATGTTCTCCCCTAGAAGAGGGGAGGGATCTTCCTGCCACCTCACTCCCAGATGTGCTCCAACAGCTGGTGGCAGCTGGTCATGAAAGACGTCTGTGACACGAGACTGATGCCATGGGGCACTGTAAGGCTTGGGCTGGCCCACCACTGTGTAGCTTGTAGTCTCTCCACAGCTCTCTATGAAATAAATGATGTGTTGGGCGCAGTTGTGCCGTGCTTCAGGGGCTGCACTTCAAGCTGGTGTCACTCTGGATCAGCAACTTGTCCATATCCCTGTCCTGTCCCACAGGGATTCTCTCTGGATTGAAGGACCCTGGTTGCATTTGGTGGTGATGGCCAAATGGAAAGGGGGGGTCTGTGCACTAAGGGGCACGTCCGCTGTAGTTTTGCTTGTACTGAGAGCCACCAGCACACATCATGGTGATGGAGTTTGCACCAAGCAGGCTCCCTGTGCTCCTCAGGAGCTGAGTGCATAAAACATGGTGTACTCAGCCTTGGATGCCAACCCAGGCCAGGCAGTGTGCCCATAGAGCATGGTTGTCCTCTCCTGATGTCTGACCCTATCTCTGTACAACTCCAGCTGCTGGTCAGAGTCCATCTGAGCACCTAAGGGGTAGGAAGAAGAAGCCTGAAACCTGCTGATGACACTTGGGAGCTAGATCTTAAAAATGACCATTCTGATCATCACACACTTTCAAAGCCCTTGGAAAGGGGAGAGAAGGAATGTCAAGAGAGGGCTGAAAGACAAGGACTCCCCCTCTACCATCTTGGCCACTGCAGCAGCCCTTGGATCAGGTACCCGTCACTTCTTCCTCCCTGCTCTGCTTTGCATCCTCTTGCTCGCCCGTCTCACCTTCCCCCCTGTGGGGAACAGCTCGCCTGCCCCAGGGGTTTTAGCAGCTTTCCTCCACTTTCTGCATCTTGCATGTTGAAGTGGTGCTTGTGGTCAGAGCTCCAGGCAGGTGTTGGACCTGCTCAGACTTGTGTGGCCCAGCACTGGCATTACAACCCTGGCCCTCAGGGTTTGTTCATCCCACCAGGAGTAACACTGGGGCTGGTGTCCCTCCCTCCAGTGTGGCACAGAATCCAGAAGGTCTCCCCTCGGTCTCCCCTTAGCCTCCCCAGCACCCAGAAAGAGAGCTTGTCCTGTCCCTTGTCCCCTGGGGCCAGCCTGGGGGCTGATGTACCTCCAAGCCTGTGTATGCAGCTTTGGAGCTATTGAGCAGATGGAGGCAGCAGGTTTGGGGCTGACAGTATGGGCTGGGTTCACATCAGAAGAACCTCTGGACAAATACAGGACAGGGTTTGTCTGAAGGCAAAACCTGCAGGTCCTT